TCGATCCGAGCCGGGATTATATAAAATCCGAACCGAAAAGAATATAAATCAATATTTGTTATAAAATAGTGAAAAGTTATGCAATGTTTAACATGCATACAGATTTTGACAGTTATATTTAAACTAAAAAATGCTTTTCTTTATTTGCAGATATGCAGTAAAATTTTACATGTTTTTTTAAATATGTTTTATGGTCATTATTGTGGTGCTTTTTTCGTTAAAGTAATCGAGCCAAGAATCCCAATTTGGGTATTAATGAGTGCAGTCCAGGTCAGTTCAATTATATATCGATCGATGTGTTGTTAATAATTTAGCCGTCGATAATTATCTCATTTAAAACAATAATTATATAGTTTATTGATGTGTTACATATTCTCTTTGTTATTTTTAACATTGAAAAAGGTATATATAAAAATTGATATGAATTGATATTTTCTTTCTATTGTTAAAGTTTGTTGAAAAGTTATTAAAAACTTAGTTATTAATGATATTTCATTAGTCGCAATTAGACATGGATATACGATTAGCGAGGAACTAATTTCTACACCTTATTCGCACTCACTACTTGGTGCGACAATCTGGAGTTTGGTTGCTGGCTTGTGGTATCACTTTTTCTCTGGTTTCGGAGGTGGTAATAAGGCTACCCTTCTATTTTGCTTACTAGTGCTTTCTCACTGGCTTGAAGACTTGGTGGTCCATGATAAGGGTAAGGGTCCTATCTTTTAAATACAATTTGTGCATGTTTAAATAATCACTATTCTGCCAAATAATAGATCTGCTACTATTCACCTTTGACAATACTAAGCCAAAATACGGATTTGATCTTTATAAAAGTTTTTTATTTAGTCAATTATTAGAATTCGGCTTATTATTTTCTTCATTTCATTACTATCTTAAAAACACCAAGATTGATTCAAAAAATTCTTCGAATTTTTGGGTAAAGTGGAGTGTGAGTGTTGTAGTCGTGGACTTTATAATAAGCCATTCTACATCATATATCACACCGCCAAGCATCCTATTTTTATGCATTACGATGTTAACTCTTCAATTTAAATCTTGTTATCTTGCTAATCAAATGGATAAAGTTAGAACTCCGACCAAAGAAAGTCCCAATTAATATTCCTTATTTAAGTCGTATGAGATTTATTCAAATCTTATTCAAAGTGTTCTTTTAATTTAGTGCTTAAAAATAAACCATGAATTCATCTTATTATTTCAATCATTACAAAGAATTTATTAGTGTACATTTCGAAATTGTTAAAATATATTTATATATATTACAAAATTACACAAAAGAAAGTTCAGATTCTATTTCGTGGTTGCTTGAGCGATATAAGCATCTAATTCTTGTGCAATGATTTGATTAGCACATTTGCTTCTTATTTCTCTGTTTTGTTTGATAAATATTACATTAACGACAATTCTACTAATAAAAAATATGAATGAATGTATAAAATCGTACCGCAATAACTGAATATCCTTTAGCGCGAGTGCTTCTTGAGCTGCGGCCCTAAAATCTCCTATTTTTATATACAAGCCGGGTCGAACTGCCGGGTCACATTTTTGAATGTATTTAGCAGCTTCACTTTGTTGTGTGGCCTTAATACACTCCTCAACAAATGGCTGTAATAATAGATTAATTAATTTGGGGGAATATCTAAAAGACAAGCATTGAAAATAATATCTAATTTTTTACTTCATATCCGATAGGCGATTTCTTTGACTTTG